AGAAGGACCGAAGTACACTGCTGAGGGGAGCAGCGGGCAGCAGGAGAGGTCTGCACGCCATGCGGGACCCTCCTCCGGTGGCTGGGGAGCAGCCAGGGATCAAACTGGCGCCACAGAGGCCGCGGGCAGCTTCACAACCCAGCGCTCAACCGCTGCGCCACCGGGGAGGCCCTGTTATTGGTCTTATTGTTAGAGCTGATATTTCTGATTCAACTCTTAACTTAGCCATGTATCTTTAACATATCAGTTCCAAATGTTCTTAGAATACAATCTCATAAAGTACAACACAGACAAAAGCAGCAAGCACAGTGATTCATAGTCCTTTTGTGAGAAAGGGACTTTATTAATATAGCAGGTTATATACTCTTTGTTCAGCCAAATGGTCACTGGAGAACTAGATCTCTGCCTAGAATTCCTAAAGGGTATGAGTTAAAAGCTAAAATCTTCTATGATTAATTTTTATTTTTCTACTTTTTAACCAAAGTAACATTGTACTATATAACATTATCTAAGTTTTAGGTGTACATCATTATTAAAGCAAGAGTTGTGTGTACCACAGAAGTCTACCACTAAAAATCCAATTCTATACTTCTCCATATATTTGACCCTTGTGCCAGATTTACTCATGTCCCTTCCCTTCTGGCAAGCTCTTATTTGGTCTTACAGTTTAAAGTTTGTATTTGGGTTTTATTTAGTTCATTCATTTGTTTTGTTGCTCTATGTACCACATGAAATCATGTAGTGTTTATCTTTCTCCATCTGACTTATTTTACTTAGCATACTACCTTCTAGGTCCATCCAGGTTGCTGCAAATGGCAGAAAGAACATCTTAATTGGAATGAATATTATTCTACAAGTTATGGGAACTAGCATTTCTTTTTTTCTGCAACACAGTGCAGAAAAAATGGTTAGGGGCTTTGAGATGACATTAATAATAAGACAACATCTATGCATTACTCTCTGGCATGAATTATTTATAAGGTTTATTTTCTTTGCAGATAGGTTATCAAATGAAAAGGTCTTTTTCCACCTCAGCTGACTTCTGGTTTTGTTTCAGTAATTGTAAACCAGAGTGTGGGAGGGAAAAACTGGTTGTAGCATTCTGGTTCACTGAAGCAGTTCGAAATACAGAAAGTCTGAATACCCTCAGGCCATCATCTCTGGGTATCCTAAAAAACAGTGTCCAATACCAGGCCTCCAGAGTAGGTTATTAACATAACTTTTTATATGGAAGAGCGAACTTTGTTATGAAAAAGACTCACTGATGAAACTGCCATTTAAATTACTGAAAAAAGGCATTTCCTATCAGAATACTAGTGATAACCATCATTCCATCCATTTTGACATTTGCCACTAAAACTTTTGAGCAGTACTATATAGTTTCTCCTCTTCTCTGGTAACTAAAACTAAAAACTTTCCCTTCTCTTCGTGATACCCAACCCCCACTCCATAATACACAGGAAAACTTTGTGTGCCAGAAATCAGAGAATTACTTTTCCCAGAAATACCAGCTCAGATGGTTGGACACTCAGCTGGAGAAACACCAACTCAGTATGAAATTTAATTGTTTGTAGGGGAAAAAATAAAAGACCATAGGAAAAGTGACAAGAGAAAGACGCAGTTTACAGAAAGTCAGGCGAGGCATGCAGCTTTATTCTTACAACAAATTATTATTCCACCCATGCTCAAAATAAGAGGCTTGCACTATGCTCTTAATATCTATTTCAATAGCAAATAAATGTAACTGCAATTCCATCCTTTACCTTCTACACATTGCTATATGTATTCTTCTATTTGTTATCCTTAATCACATTCTATTTATTATACTTAATCACATTTAAATGAACTCATATTCTAGTGATCAATTAAAATAGCTCCTTCAAAATTAAGACCTGAATTTCTCCTATTTGCCCCTACACTAACAAGTAAATCTACAAAGAATTTTATTTTTTAAATAAAAGGGACATTAAAATAAACATTGTGATTCACCCAGCATATCTTCTTCGATAAAGTACAGAATTACTTGGAACAATGCTGATTTTGTTGATGAATTTTAAATTACAGAGTCTGCTATTACTGACCTTCATCTCTAACTTAATAAAATTGATGTCCCTAGTGATATTATTTGAAGAATAAAACAGTGTCCATAGAACTTACAATACCCCAATAATCAGTGTGTCATACATTTAAAAATGAGGATCATTTTACTAAACAAAATACTCTGTTGCCAAATAGCCATGAGAACTTCTAAGAAATTTCTTTTATAGTCCACAGAGCAAAATGTTCCAGAGCTCTGCTTAGAATGCACACTTTGGCCTCAATGCATTTGGAATCCTAAGGGAACCTAGATGTGTACTCAATATATAACATTACATACATATGTATATATTAATAATATGTAATAAATAAAATATATATTATTAATATACATAGAGTAATACTATATATTTCTATCCAAAAACACCCATAAATCAAAAATCTATACCTGCTATAGTGTAACAAGAATGGCCCATTGTTATGAACTATGAGTAGACGAGCATCAAAGTTTTACAAAAACATAGCTGATCACAGAACACTACCAGATAATGAATAAAACATGAATAACAGTAAAATTCAAGTAGAAATATGCCACAGTAGTGCAGGAATTAATAAATTTTGTCTTAGGGTTGAATTCTGGAGTACGACTGAACTTATTCTGACACTTAGAATTCAGAGTTGAATCAACATGATCAGTCAGCATTACTCAATCTACCATCATCTATAAAATCTACACACAACCATCAAAAATTACAGAGGCCCCCATAATATGTTTCCACATAAAAGCCCAAAATACCAACATTTATAAATGAAGTCGTAATTATAAAACATCTACTGAGTTAGAAGTTGCCTCAGGTTTCTACAGAAGGTGTAAAAGTGGAATACAAGTTTACCACACTGTATTACTACATCTCTGAAAAACAGTGTAACCACTCAAACTTCTGGATCTACAAGCTACATGCCTCCTTATACTCCAAATACCCTAAAATGTAAAATTTAATGGATTACTTTGCAGGAAATACAACTTCTGTAATGAAGTCAAGAATATCATTGTTACTAAATTTGAATAAGAAATATATAGATATACCTTTAGATCTGTAAGATCAATGTTCTTATTCTATTCTACTTCTGATCCTTGAGGCAATTCAAACTCACCTTGTTATTCTTGGAAAGCCTTAGAGTTTTAAAGAAAAACTGGAAGATTACCATCTTCAAGATAAATTGGTCCAAAAAATAATGCGCCCACAATTACATAATTGGTTAGATGGCTATGCCTTTTAGGATTCATCACTAATTAGACAGAAAATTATAAATAAGTAAACATTTGTGCCATTTTACATTTGGTAAGGAGGTATCCTATGTTTAATTTGATGATTTTACTCACTCTAGGTATTTGTTTGACCAGTATTTACAGACAACTTCAGAGTCTACACACCCAGGTAAAAGATTTTTCGATAATAAAACCCTATGCCATAGACTAAATGAGGTTAGTTTTTCCATACCAAAAGCCACATTAGAGGTTTCTTAAAGGTTTTCCTATACATAAATCTAAAATTCAGAGACGTTATGTATCTTAAGCCAAAATTCACTTAGCAATGCTAAGATATTTTATATTTTAAGTTGGAAATCTAGACTAAAACTATCAATACATATTCCAGGTATATTTAAAATGCCCCATTAATGCAAAAAATTTTTTATTTTCAAGATCAACCATGAAATTTAATACTGAAATATCCAAACAACACATTTTATGGTGGAATTGTGAAGTCAAGAAACCTAGTGATAAAAGAAGATTCAGTTGATATAACTTTAGTCTTTGTCACCTCTGTTCAATTTCCCAGTTTCTAGTCAAAGTATGTAATTTGAGGCTCTATTTCTCACAAACATCTATAACACCAACCATGAAACAAAGACTGTGTCTTGAAGATACTCCAATATCAAATGCTAGTGGAGCACAAGAGAGAAACAGGAACTCTCATTGCTGGAGAAAAGGCAAAATGATGCAATCACTTTGGAAAATAGTTTTGGAGTTTCTAACTAAACATAGGTATACCATTAGATTCAGCAATCATGCTCCCACAGTGTTACTCAAATGAACTGAAAGCTTATGTCCACACAAAAACCTACAAATATTTGCAGCAGCTTTATACATAAATTTGGAAGCAACCAAAATGGCCTTCATTAGGTGAATGGAGGGATAAACTGTGGTATGTTCATGTAATAAAGCATTATTTAACGATAAAAAGAGGTGAGTTATCAAGCTATGAAAAGACATGAGGAAAACTGAAATGTATATTGTTAAGTGAAAGAAGCCAATGAAAAAGCCATATACTGTATTATTTCAACTACATGACACTCTGAAGAAAGCAAAACTATTGAGACAATACTATGCTAGCTGATTGCCAGGGGTTCAGGGTAGTGGCGAGAGAGGCAATGAATAGGTGGTGCGCGGGACATTTTAGAGCAGGGAAACTATTTTATATTATACTGTAATGGTATAGGATGACAACACACATTTATCAAATCAAATAGATTTGTGCTGCACAAAGAGTACATGCTAATATAAAGTATGAACTTTGGTAACAATACTATATCAATAATAGGTCATCAATTGCAACAAATGTACCACACTACCCAAGATTTTAATAATAAGAGATACTGTGTGGGAGGCAGGCCAGGAAAGTATATGGGAACTGTGTACTTTCTGAGTAATTTTTCTGTAAACTGAAAACTGCTCTAAAAAATAAAGTCTATTAAAAAAAAGCAAAAACACTGTCTCATGACCTAGTTATTATCATTAATAAACTTATGTAAAACTACATAAGTTAATGTGAATACTTAAATAATGTGAAAAACAAATACACAACTGCATGACACTTCTACCAAAACAACATATGTGCTGTGAAGCAAAAAGCAACACTGACGATTTTAACATTAAAAAATAAAATCTGGAATATTCTTACCTGTCCTGTGATTGTTCTTCATACATCCTCTCCTTGCCTTCTTTAAAGAGTCTTATTGCCCGTTTTGACTTTTTCATTAAACTATCAATGTAGATTTTAAAATATTCATTTTCACTGAGTTGGGCAAGTTTCTGGTTGTCATCATATTTGCTCAAAATTAGTCGCAAGTGCTGATATGTGTCAGGTAAAATATCAAGTATATATGGTGGGCTATTTTTCAACTGAAGTTTTGGATTTTGGCACAGTCTTACCTAAAAAAAACCAAAGATAAAAATGAAACATTTCATATGAAACATAACTCATAGAAAAATGAAAAATATATCCCAGTATGTAATATTTCATTTCCATAATAAAAGTTTTATATTGAAATTACTACCTCCAATCTACAAAGAATTGGTAAGTAGCTATATTTAATACAGAATTATACATTTTCTCCTCTTCCCATTCAGCTTTTTCTATATAAAAAACTCTTCAGATTTCATCCTTTCTTGTACAATGGCCATTTTTCAAGCATAATAGAAAGCTATTGTGCTAATTACTGTATACCACTAATAGTCTCTTTTAAAATAAAAATGAGGAAATAGGCCTCTTCTGCTGGCAACCAATGTCTCACATTTAGGTATATTTTACTACATTGAACTCCCAGCTAAAGTTCTTTCATAGATTTTTAATTAATGTTTTGGTCTATTGTTCCTGAACCCGAAGGAGAATGAAACAAAGAGGTACAATTTTAATAACCAAGTGATTAAGCAGTAAATGGGTGTCAGGTCAGAACAAGTCTTTTCCACCTCCCCAGATTGTCTCCCAGGCCCATAAACATGTGTTACATAACGGTTCAGTCATTCCATCAGGTGCCACCTGGCCACTGGGGTGGTCAGGACTGCTTGCAGAACTGAAAATACCTTCTGCTAACAAGCAAAAGTAGTAATCCAACTACTATATTCACTTCTACATGTTCATGTAATGAATCAAAAGTAAATCAACCTATCTCATTTTTATCCCACAAACAAGGGCACAAGGAACCCTCCAATTAAACATACGAACTGCACAAGAATATGCAATTTAAAGTCATAGCACCTTTAGAAAAAGCAGCTGACAAATGAGCTAATCAGAAGCTAGAGAAGCATAAACCTGAGGGTCTCCTAAGTATTTGGCCCCTCTCCTAGGGCCCTAGTATGCTCTCTGTGAAAAAATTTCAGAAGCAAGAAATTTCAAACAAACTTGGTTATGGGTACTGTATTTTTCCAGTATGATTCTCTTTTGGATAAACTTAACCTCCTGTCAGGAGGCAGTAGGGTTGCCTTATACATTTCTGGAAGCTGGCTAATGGTACTTTGAGTTAGAGATACATTTAGTTTGGCTTTAGTGGAAGGTACACGTGAGATGAGCAGTCATTTCTGTAAACTGTAAAATTATAGTCAGCAGTCATGATATAAGAACAGCTTCAGGAAAAACTATGCATAGTACTGACTAGATCAACATGGGAGCAAAAAAAAAACCAGTTCAAATCTGATAATCTGAATGGGTCCAGTGCTACCAAGGGCTGAAAATATGCAGGGGCAATGGAAGAGAACCAAATTATAAACTATATTACCACTGGAATAGTTCTCTGCTTTGTTTAAACCTGTAAGTTTTAAAAATGTATAATTTCTTACAACTTGTTTCTTATCCAGAAGAAAAAATTCACTGACTACCCAATTTTTTATTTTTATATATTTTTTCTTTAAAAGTATCCCTCTAAATTTTATAAATTATGAGTTCTATAAAACATGGATCCATTCCAGGTACTCATAAAAGTGTTTAAGCCAAATAGGAAACAGTTGAACAATAATTTCAAGAATCACAAACACAATAAATCATGGAAACAAAAAAATGAATAAATACTATCTCACTTGCTTTCTTTAAGAAATAACCATGTCACATTTTTGTGAGGGAAAAAAATCTGATTCACTCTCAAGCATGACCCCCTCAATGAAGACAACCGATTTTTCACATTAACTGAGGGCATTATCCTATCCTCTTCGTCTTTGCATAAAGTGCCTAAAACCGAATTATCTAGCACATACTACGTAACTAAGAAATGGATAAACAGGTGGATTGGTTGAATGACTCTATAATACTTTATATATTCTTTTTATACATAGTATGATTATATTATTGCCTTATTTTCACAATCGAACTATTCTAGTTTCAGTTCCATAAGCCAAAAATATAGGTATAGTTTAAATCTACGAATATTATTTATATCCACTAAAAAAATTGGAAAGGGAAGATAGTATCTAATTTATTAAATAATGCCATATCTTTACAAAGCTATAAGGCCTGACACCTGCATATAATCAGAGAGGCTAAACCAGCCTAACAAGTGACTAAATCACAAATATACCAATCACGGAACAAATCTTGGCTGAAATAGGATTGTTTTCAATTCTTAACACTAAGACATAGTATTATGAGTAGATACACAAATTTCAAAACTACTACCACCAACATTCTACAGCAGACAGTTTAATTTCAGCTACATAAAACTTGGTACAACCTGTCACAGACTGATATATTACTAACCTATAGTTAGGGGAATAGGTAGTTTCAAATTTAATTTCTCCACTGCTGAATTTTTTAACTGATAAAAATTTTCTTGTAGGTATTCAGACATTTTCACGTTTGCAGACATTCTAAGTAACTATTCTTTTATAGATATTTTAAGTGTTATAGAGTTTTAGTTTACTACTCTCCATCAGACCTCTTTCTCATTTCCTTTAACTGTTATTCTCTTTAGAATTCATTGCTTTATTTGGTAAAACTGTATGCATAACTATATATTCCAGGTACTGAGCATAACTATATATTCCAGGTACTGAGTTTAGTGCCAAGGAAATTACAGATGACTAGAAAGAACATACTTCCTCCCTCAAGGTGGCTGGCAGAAGAGACCTAGTTCTCTATAATTAACTTAGGAGCAATGTAATTCTCGCTCTAAGGGATCTTAGTAAAGATCCTGTTCAATCCATTCATTTTCAGATAAAGAAACTAAGCACTACAAAGATTAAGGGACTATTAAAAAATCATTAATCCAACACAAAAGCCTGTATCTTCTGGATCTTAGGCTGATCTGCTTTCTGACTATATCACAATTTAATTAGAATTAGGCATATAATTAATGATCCCTAGCTAAACTCATTTACATTTTTATTTTATTCCACTTGCAAATCTACATGAAATTCAGGACCCATTTGTTAATTTTACAAACATTTGAGTCAGGCATTGTTTCAGGCCCTAGGGAACACAGGAAGGAATAAATCACAGACCTGTCCTCCAGGAGTTTTCCAGTGAAAAAGACTGGTGACTTTAAAAAGGAATTACAGGGAAATTTAAGTCTCTAATGGAGATATTTACAAAGTGCTAGAAGCCAAAAGCAGCAGCTCACTCACATCTACATGGGAGTGTCAAGAAATGCATACCTATGCTTGCAAAAGGAATATTCCAGGCAAAGGGGTATACAAAGAGAAGAGCCAATCTGTCATTGCAAAGGAGTAGGGAGCACAGGAAGCCCTTAGGTGAGAGTGCAGCAGATTTGAAATAGGCCACAGTCAGTTCATCAAGGCCCTTGCAGTCCACATAGTTTTCTGAAATTGCATTAGGAAAAGAGCAACATACAATGCTGTACTCTGAGTTTGCAGTTCATCAGCTGGATTAGTATTACAGTCTGTGATTTATGATAGCTCCTGCTGAAAATGAATAACCCTACACCAGGACTATGACTTCTTAGCAGGTCAAATTCAATTCAATTCAATAAATATTTATTGAGTGCCTGCTATGTGCAAGGATCTGCAAAAAGTCAGAGAAAGAAAAATTGCTTTTCTAAAAACATTATATTAAGGAGAAAAATCAAGCTTACCACAAAGTTCAAGTTCAGATTCAAATGACTTAGACCTCTTCTAGAAATAACTAAGTTGCTCCCTAGAAAGCTCACAGAAGAGCTCTCATAAAGAAAAAAACTCTGTAGTCACATTATATAATGATGAACTTTTTAGGGCACCGACTGGTACATAAAAAGACTGGTTCACAAGCAATGTTACTCTTCACTTGTTAACTATTAGACAAAGCATTTAATATTGGAATGAGGCTGAAAATTTTGATAAAGTCACTGACTCAAGGGATGAGAGGACATTGAAGATCAACATGACCAACTCCCTCCTTTTGACATGTTAATACTAAAACACAGAAATAGAACCCAGCTGAGTCTACTGCTCAGAAGCCTGGGCTGGAGATACTAAGTCTATGGAGATAGTCAATCACTCTCTCAACAATAAACAATTGCCAGTTGTATTTGTTTACATATATTTAAACATTTTAAGCAGACCTCTCCATATAAACCTGCATTGTTTCACATACATAAAAATATATGATTAATATATACCTATCATATACATAAAATATATATCAGACCATATCAAAGCAAAGGCACAAATATAAACACGGTATTTGCTAGTACTATAAAAATTATAGTTGCATTGAAATAGTATCCTGACTGTGTTTTAATAGAATTTCTAGCCAAAAGGTAATAAAGAGGTATTAAGTGAGCTAACATACTTTGTGCAAACAAGGTTCAAACCAGCCCCTGAAAAATATGAAAAAAATTCTACTGAAACAAACAGAAATATCAACAGTAAGCAATTGTGCCTATATTACCAGAGACCGTCCTTACAAAACATACCTTACTTCGTGGGACATTCAGATATATTAAATCAAGTAATGTACATGCAAGGTGGAAAATAACCATTTCCTTAAAGATATAAGGAAAACCTAAAAGAATCCCTTCTCCTTTTTCCTCATTTAAATGTTATGAGGTTCCTCATTGCAATTACATAAACATATGTCATTATAAAAAGCATCTGGGAGTTTTTCTGGTTCTTTCCACTTTAGCAAGTCATCACTAAGTTTATAAAAGCAAAAAACATATACGGTACAAAATATAAGAAATATAAAAATCACACAATATATAAATATATAAAATATCATATATTCTATAATTTTATATTAAATAAAACATAAAAAGACTGCTACACAGAATGCTTGGGCAAAACCATAAGGTTAGCATATAAAATCAGTTATGAATCTAGTATACTATACTAGTATACTACACTAGTCATAGGAGAATTTAGGTGGGGTACTACCAAGTCCTCTATGGTTTTTAATGCAAGTTCCTTTAGAAGACTGATATAAGAAGCACCATTAAATAATTGAGGGT